GCCTGATTTTGGGGGGGGGGGGGGGAAACCCTGGCCTTTCACCGCCTATGTTTACAAAACAAATCACAATAAAATGCTTGTAATGTTTTAGTTAAGATAACATGTATTATGAAAAGCTTCCCAATAAAAAATGGAATGATTTGGTATTATACATTAGATAAATCAAACAATTCTTCAAAGACCTACCTTCTATTTGCAAGCACACAAACAACAAAAAGTCTTTTTTAATGCCAAGCAAGGGGAACATTACATTATTCAGAACTTTAATTATTTTTTCTGTGAAAGAGGGAAATTATACTAGAAATAGCACAAAATAAGCTAAACAAAAATTATTTAAAATATTGCTGTTGACTTTCAAATGGTTACTTCAAAAATAAAAAGCTTCCCATTTATTTTCTTTAGTTGTGATCTAAGAACTTGAACTTTGAACATATTTACTTTTTATAAGAACAGACAAGTGGGAATAATCTCAATGAATAATGCAAAGAATTGCAAATGAAATGGCAACCTTCTGATTACCCTGCTTATTCAGCTCATCAGCTTTGTGTTAATGCGATTGTTTAATAAATGATATATACCAACAGGCTTAAGGGGAAAATAATCTGAAGTAGAAGATTTGTCTCAAACTTTGCAAGGTAACTGTAGAGAGTCTATTAATGATTAATAGGCTTTAAATAAGCAAGCTTTGTAACTGTGAAACAGGGAACTAATTATGCATGTGGAAAAATACAATAATTAAATTAGCAAAATAAAGCAAAATAACCCTTCATAACAATTCATTTTGCTTTTACAGCAGTTAAATAGATGGCTGGCAATTTTAAATTATTTTTATTCAGTAAGAAGTCAGGAGACAACTATAGGACTCATTAGGCAAAAGGGACAAATCAGAAAAGTATTAAAATATGCTGATAGGATTGGTAGATCCAAAGCCACAAGAAAAGCATTCAAACTATCTTTGTAAACTAAAGAGGATTTGGAGCATATACACCTACATGCTCTTAATTTGCTGTATTTATTAATAAACTTGTATTTGTATAACACTTTTTCCTACAAGTTTGCAAACATTAAGGAACTAAACCTAAAACCGCCACTGTCAGAGTCTTCGTCTGATTCATATTATAGACTGGTAAACTAACTCATATGTGACTTCTCAAAGCCCACAAAGTGGGTGACAAGTCATGAACGGAACAAGAATCCATGTATTTGATATGGCCTGTAAAAAGGAGCATCTGTCTGACCATATGCCAGTGATCCCAAACCAACCATCAGTTATCTGGATCTAATGTCCATTGAAGTAAATGAGAAGTTAAGAAAGAAACACATTGTAGTCACCCCAATCCAAAACAAATTAGACCCTGTACATATACCTGTTATGCAAATGATTATCAGGGGTTTCATTACTGTAACCTATGAAGCCCAAATCAAGTTGTCCTCACAGTGACAGAAGTTCACATCCTGCTGTAGGAAAGCAGAAGTCCAGGGTCTCATAGGCAGACACATGAACAATCACTGAATATTGCATATTCTCAGCCCTCCTTATGTAAGTGGGCAAATTAAATTTCATGCTCAAAAGCACCAGGTACTTGTATACAAGTCATTCTTCACTGGCTCAATTTTCATTCACATCCCTCTTGCCTGATGATACTGTGACCCTAGGTCAGGAGTGGGCAAAATACAGACCGTGAGCCAGATCCGGCCTGTGAGGCCATTCTATCTGGCCCATGGAGCCCCTAAAAAATTTAGAAAATAAATATTTATCTGTCTTTGGTTCCTGTAAAAAATGACAGGAACCAGGGGCAGCAGGACCCAGGGGAAGCCCGGCAGGCTCCCGCAACAGCAGGGCCCACCTGGCCCTACCCCCCATCCGGAAGCCCCAGCAGGGGCTTCTGGCCTTGGACCATGTGGCTTCACTGGCACTAGAACCTCAGGTAAAGGGAGGCAGGCAGGGAAGGAGCCAAGAGAAAAGCAGCTCCTCCCCTACCAGGAGCTCCCTGCTGCAGCCGCTCAGCACCAGCTCATAACCCGCCCCCACTGCCAGCCTGGACCCCATGCCAGCTCTGGGCTCACCTGTTGGGGCTGCACTGCGGCGGCAGCAGCTGTGGCCCCCCCACTTGCCGCGCTGGGCAGTGTTTGCTGCTGCTGCCAGCCCAGGGATGGTGGTAGCAAACACTGCTTGACGTGGCAAGCAGGGGGTCCACAGCTGCTGCCGCCATGGCGCAGCCCTGACAGGCAAGTCCAGAGCCAGTGTGGGGCCCAGGCTGGCAGCAGGAGTGGGTTACAAGCTGATGCTGAGCACAGGAAAAGCAGCTCCTCACCCATCCTGTGCCTCGCGCCCCACACTGCAGCTGCTCACAGCCTGCATGGGGCTGCCTGTGCCTGCTCTGGACAGCCCCACATGGGCTGCGAGCGGCTGCAACAAGGAGCACTGGCCGCAGGGTGGGGGAGGGGCTGTTTTTCCCTGCACTCAGCACCAACTCATTCCCTGCCATGGAGCAGGGGGTCGGGGCCACACGCTGCCCCCTGCCTGTACCGCAGGGCTGGGGGGGGCACTGGGAGCGAGCAGGTGCATGGGGTCCACACTGGTGTCCCAGGGCCAGCACTGGCAGGGCCCAGAGCAGGGGTGGGGGTCCTGGACAGCAGGGTCTCTATGGAGCCAGGCCAGCTCTCCCCTCTCCCTGCTGATGCAGCTCAGCCCGGCTTCACAGACCCTTGCCAGCCTACGCCTCGCTTTGGGTCCCACCAGTGCTGGTCCTGAGACACTGGTCCCAAGACATTGGAACATTGGTCCCAAGATTCTAGGAACAATGGCCACAAGCTGAGGGAGGATAGGTTTAGGTTAGATATTACGAAGAGCTACTTCACTGTAAGGGGGGCCAGAGCCTGGAACAGGCTCCCCAGAGAGGTGGTGCTCTCACCTTCCCTGGAAATCTTCAAGAGGAGACTGGATAGGCACCTGGCTGGGGTTTTATGACCCCTCCCATCCCCAGTGCTCATTCCTGCCCATGGCAGGGGGTCAGACTCGATGATCTGTCTAGGACCCTTCCGACTCATTGATTCTATGATTCTAAGATGGTGACCAGGGGGCAGGGCACCTGTCAAGGGGCAGGGCTACCCATGCAGCCCTCAACAGCTTGCCAAAACTGGGTAAGCGGCCCTCCGCCTGAAATAACTGGCCACCCCTGCCCTAGGTGCTAGCAAGCTAAAGAACAGAAACTGAAACCATAAAACACATTTTAAACAGACTGGGAAAAACACCTGGGCCAAGGGTTAGCAAGGACTTAGTAAGGGAGCTTCTGGAGGGGCTGGACATATTCAAGTCAGCCGGTCCAGA